AGGCCTAAAAACAAGTGGTTACAGTGATAACAGCCTGGGCCCTCTGAAATTATGACCAGAGTAAACACTCTTTTCTTTAGGAGCTGACCATCTCAAGTGTTCCTTTCAGAAGGAAAACTGACCAGCTACCGCACTAAGTGGATATGAAGGTGAATGTATGCACATACACAGGCATGCACACGTACAAGCACCCCTGTGTGTGCAGCACCATGGTAACTGAAATGTGTGCCTATAGCCTGTCCTTGGTTTGCACAGTCCCAATATGCACAGGTTTCCATTGCATGAAGCCTTTCAGTGAAGCCAGGACTTCCTGTACACACGAAACAGTAGCATAGTATGAAGGTACAACAGACCCTCAACGGTGGTGTCCATCATAGGAAATTACGGAAGCTTTCTGCAACTACTCAGCTCACTGCTGTTTCCTTGCCCCTTCGCGTGAGCCTTTCCCGTAATGGTGCATCTGTGTTGACTAAGCAGCCCACATCCTGGCTCTTGTGCTAATTCAGCCTCTTGGTAATTTCTGCTCATTTTCTCCTGGTTCTGTTCTCAGCAGCTATGTGATTCATATCCCATAATTGCAGGAGCATCTCTATAGAGCTCACAAGTTCCCAGGCAGATTTGTTTGCAGAGCGCACTATGGGATCACTAGCAGACTACCACCTCACCTAGTAGGTTAGGCTTTCTGGCCACTGAGACTTGAAGTGTCAGAACTAGTTCTAAGTCTCTACTAGAGGCCTAGGAACCACAGAATTCTAAGAACAATCTCATCATTCCAGAAAGCCTTATGGTAAAGGTCGTCCTCCAAGGAGAGGGGCACATGAGAATCAGGAGCTCTGCACTAAATATACCCAACACCTTGTAGGGTCTTAAGAATCTAAGTATCACTGAGAGGTCAAACCAGCAAAATCAAGGCCCCGAGATCTCAGTCGGGTCGTGTGAACCAGCATTGGGAGAGGGCCACTGGCAAAGCTCTTGGAGAAGGAGCTGCCACCCTTGTGGTCAGACACTATTCATCTTGATTTTTGTGTGCACAAAAATGGACGTGATAGGTATTTTTGCAGATTTAATCATGAAGTAAGGGAAGATGATCACGCGGAGTAGGCATGTTACTATTTATAGTCATTGCTATTCTTAGCCCCCATTAAACTTTTTTCCCATTTATTTATTTTTTCAATATGTGTTTGTTTTGACATGTGTATTTCATGCCACACATCTTAATCATATTTACAACCCCTCCCCTTTCTGCACCCCCCAGAACCCCCCCCACTGAAATTCATACATTCTGTCATATATAATAATGTCCATTGAGTCAAGTTTGTGGCCCCAGATGTCCCTTGGCATAAGTTCATCCTCTGGAGCCTGGTCAGCCTGTCTAGCGTCACCCATTTCCTGGTGCAGCCTACACTCCTGGAACCTTGGTCAAATCTGGAGCAAATCTGAAGGCCCATTCTTGCTCCCTGGCCCCGTGTGGAGTTGACTAAGATGGGAACTGTATCCCAGCTCAGCCCTTTCTCTGCCCACTCCTGCCTCATTTCTCTTGTGTTCCCAGTGGTTGGTTCCAAATATGAACCTTACAAGCATCCTGTGCACTGAATTGCATCCCACAGCCAGCTTTGTAGGGACAGTGCCTGGGACTTCTTCAGGAGGACGGGAGCTGTCCCTTCATTCTCACATGACACCCTATAGCCTAGCACCCCTAGCTGTCAGGGGCTCATCTTATTTCTCCTTGGTGACCTTTAATGTGTTTTGAAGGATAGTAACAATAGTCCTTCCAAAAAGCAAAGCATCCAGCCTGTAGGCATTTTGAGATAGGGCTGGTGGACCAGTTGTGTTTCTGTAAGACGATGGTGGCTCAGGAAGTCCTTGGTTGGAAACACTTTTATGGCCTTGGGTCTGCTAAAATGGGAATTTAGCAGACCCGTAACCCATAGATACTTTGCCTCCTGGAGGCCAGTTATTAGAGGCATGAAGAAAGTTTGCGGAAATCTCTTAGGCTCTGGAAAGAAAAGTTGGAGGGTTGTAGATTTATCTGTTGGTAACAGGGTGAACTGGTTTCATGTAGACCCCAATTTTAAGTGGTGCCTTTTTATTTATTTTGTGTATATGTATATGTGCATATTCATGGGTATATGTGTGTGTGTGTCGTTGTGTATGTACATGTATGCTTATGTATGTAGAGGCCACGATTGTTCTTCTGCAGCATCTGCCTTGTTTTCTGAGATGATTTCTCACTGGCCTAGATCTCACCAAGTAGGTTAGGCTTTCTGGCCACTGAGCACCGGAAATCTGTCTCTGTCTCTGCAGCAATGGACTTGTATGCATGCCCCACCATGCCCATGCACAAGCATGCCCGTGCACCACCATGCACATGCACCACCATGCAAAGCTCCTGGCCTGGGTCTTGGAGATCAAACTCAGATAGTCGTGCTTATGTGGCAAGAGCATTGCAGACTGAGCTGTCTCCCTAGCTCCTCTTCTTTCCGTATACTGGGTTTATTCTGGTAGCTTCAGCCTTCTTAAATTTCTCATGTATTTTGTACAGTATTTTCTTCTTTGTAAGCTACAAGTGCTTTTTAATACAATATTAATTTATCTGAGTTAAGAAAGTTAAATTCACTGAAAACTTTGGTCTATTCTCTCTCAGAAACTGACAATTAAAAAAAACCTGAACTTTAAAGAATGGATGAATTTTAAGGAAACACTAATCAATTCACATTACAGCCAGTGGCCTTTGTAATATCCTTCAGTAACTGTTTTAATGAAGAAAAGATCAGTCTGACCTGGTATTGTTTCCATCTCCTCTTCATCCCCACTATTCACTACCCCGTGGCTCCAATACCCTCTGTATTTTGGACTATGACATTTTTCTTCAGGCTACAGAAACATTAAATTTTGTTCTTTTTAAATATTGAATAACTTGTGGAACTCTATTTCACTGTATCATGTTAGCAAGTTTTCTAATTTATTTTTCTGATGTCATTGTATAAATCACTCTATATGTAAGCATATTCTTACGTGGTAATTAAAGTTCTTTATTACTTACCACCTTTATGTTTCCTACACTGGAGTCATTCTTTGTTGTTTTGTCTGGTGTGATGCTTAGTTTTTACCATCAGCTTGATGCAATCTAGAGTCACCAGGGGACAGAGTCATGGTGAGGGACTGGTCCCTTAGGGGGACAGGTCTGTGGAGGTTATCTTGATTAAGGTAACTCAGGTGGGAAGACCTGCCCGTGGTCCCTGGGCTGGGGATTCTGAATTTAGAGGAGTGAGAAAGTGAGGTATGCTTTAGCATGGTTGCATTAATTTATTGCTCTCTGATCTTAATGTGAACATAATGTGACTGACCAGCTGCTTCCAGTTCCTGCAACTTTGGCTTCCTAGCAGTAATGGATTCTAGCCTGAAATTGTGAGCCAAGTAAACCCTTTCCCCTTTAAGATGCCTCTGTCTGGATGCTTTATCACAGCAACAGGAAATACAACAGTTTGTTATTGTGGTTGTTGTTTTGGTGATCAAATCCATTGTGCTTCAATGGACTTTGTAATTTGTCATGAGTCTAAGTCAACAAGAAACAAATACTGAAAACTTTTATGAGATCATAAAAAGCATGGAAGTTGAGTCAAATGGCTGGAGTTTGACTCGAGCCCTAGCTAACTACAGTGGGCTTACGCTGTTACTTGGGAAAGCAGCCTCGATGAGCTGCTGTACCAGATAGACATAGGGTTGGAATCAACCCGCAGGCTTGCTTTTCTACTGTCTCTGAAGACACTGTCTCAGACCTTGTGGTGCACTAGAGTCAGTGGTGAGGCAGGAAAGTGAGACACATTTAGGAACCTAAGTGATTCTTCTTTGCAAAATTGTGGCTCTCTTTTGAAACTGGAGGACAGCCTAAAATCAAGCCAGCTCTTCTGTCCAGTAAGGAATTCCAGCATAGTCACAGATAGACTCGTATGATGATTCCAGATGCTGTTTGTGTCATTTAAAATATTTTATTATTTTTATTTTCTGCATATGACTGTATTGCCTCCATACATGTAAGTGCACCAGTGTCATGCAATGCCCATGAAGGTCAGAAGATGGTGTCGGATTCCCCTGGAAGTGGAGTTACAGATGGTTGCTGGCTGACATGTGGGTGCTGGGAATCGAACCTGGTTCCTCTGCAAGAGCAGCTCATGCTTTTAACTGCTAAGACGTCTCTCCAGCCCCCCGTTTGTGTCATTTTAAAGCACGACTATAAAAAACTTTAGATAATTTTTCCATGTGATAAAGTTTTTTGACTAATAACTTTCAAGACATCATTTTTTTAAAATAATGTTTTTGAAATAAAGGAATTGTTCTCACTACATGGAGACTTCGGTCACACCGCTCAGGCTTCACGTTGGATTATTATCTGCTTTGCTTTCAGTGTTGAATGTATTTACACTAGAAAAGAATATTAAGGCTCTGGAGAGATGGCTCAGCAGTTAAGAACACTGGCTGTTCTTGCAAAAGACCTAGGTTAGAATCCCAGTACTCACATGGCAGCTAACAACTGTCTGTAACTCCAGTTCCAGGGGATCCGACAGCCTCTCCTGTTCTCCGCAGGCACTGCACAACATGGGTTCACTTACATACATTCAGGCAATACATGCATACGTATAAAAATAAATAAATATAATAAATGAAAATAATTTAAAAGTCAGATCTTTTTCTTCCTTTTTATAAGAGCAAAGGTCTGTTTAGATTTTACTTTCTAATTATTTGGATTCATTTTTTAAGTTCAGAACTATAAAATATAGCCTAAATAAAACTTAAGACCTGTTCTGTTTCCTGGTGTTGTCATTTAATTACTTTGCCTCAAATAGCACCAAGGCATTTACAAATGATATGAAAATTATAATTAGTATTTGCTCTTTATTGTTATGTAAGTGAAACATAGCTTGTATTAGTAATTGTCCTTAGAACTGTTTTCTAATATTCTGTGAATAAAATCTCAGTGTAACAGATTTCATAACATGTAGGGTAGAGAAGAATTCCTGAAGAAGCGGACGCGAGGTAAAATGGCTGCTGGAATAGAAATTCAGGTAATGCTCATTTGATATCAACATTTTATTTTTCCTTTAATTTGCATTTTACTTAGCATTTTAAATTTGCCTGTAATGAGGCATCTTCTGTCACTGCTTGGTTTGCAAGCCAGCACTTTTCTTTCCTTAGCTGATGACAGTTGGCCTCTGTGTACAACTAGCACAGTCTGATCATGCATAACGAAACTGACCTCCCATACACATATCTCATTTTGTGGCTTAATGGGAAATTCTGCCAGTCTAGTGAAAGGGCAGCCTCATCGTACTCCTAACTGTCGAACTCTCTAGTTTGCTTTCTGATGATGTTACGTTTTCTTTACTTGCAGTGTCTCTCACTGGAATTTATTTAACCCTGAAAAATACCCAAACAAAGTGTGCTAATATCTCTCTAAATAAAGATTTTGAAATGGAAGCACAGTAGCTAACAAACCAAGTTTAATTTTTAAATCTTGCCTATCCTCAGGAACCCAGCTTAGGTATTTTTTTTTTTAAATCTCTGATAGAGTTCTCATATATTCCCTTCAGAAATACACACTTGTGAAATTATGGTTATTACAATAAGATATAAATTTACACGTGAAGGAGTCCATGTTACAGTGACATAATAATCTGTAGCTTTAGTCTTCTATGAAGAAAGAAAAATTTAGGATTTGTTCTGTAATTTCTTTTTTTATATTTTATTTAATATTTTACTCTGTCTGAGTGTTTAGCTTGCATGTACATAAGTGCACCCATGTCATGCAATGACAATGGAGGTCAGAAGAGGGCATTGGATTCCCTGGCACTGGGGTTATAGGTGGTTGTTAGCCGCCATGTGGGTCCTGGGAACTACAACCCAGGTCCTCTGCAAAAGCAGTCAGTGCTCTTAACAGCTGAGCCATCTCTCCAGCCCCTCTTCTGTAATAGATTTCTTTTCTGTTTCTTTAATAGATTTTTTTTTCTCACTAATCCCGTAGTCAACCCAGTCATTTTTGTCTAATGCTTAGCTGTAGGTTTTCTGCTCGTTGGTTCATTTGGTCCTAGACTGCAGGAATTGGATATCTTCAAATGCGTGCTTTCTGCATGTGTCCTAGTTGATTTTTCTCCAACATGTTCCTAAACATGTTTGATCTGTGTGAACCATGTAAGTTCTTCCCCTCAGTTTCCTCAGCAGCCATGTGGTGTTTAAAATACTATGTTTCTACCCATTGCTCTTTATGGGGAACTGTATGGATTAATTTTAAATGATAACCTGAATAAGAATAAATGATTTTAGAATTAATCACTGAATGATCAATTTACAATCTCGATTGGCAGAAAAGACTGTATTCCATTGAAGATTCCCAGTTCACCGAGATGCAGAATTTCTTAAGAAGGAAAGCTCTTTTTACCCTGGCTCTGTTGGAAATAGAGCTCCCTCTGCGCCAGATTGAGGCAGATGCCATGAGAATAAAAATTCTCCACAGAGAACACTCTAATGTAAGTATTTACAATAACTCAGTACATAATCATTTATTTATAATTAATAACCAATCTTCAGGGATATTTAGGTTGCCAAGTAGTGTATGTGGATTTATTATATGAAGAGATTATGACTTCTCATAGGAAAATCACACAAACTCTAAGTTGCCCTTTGAAGACGACACTGTTGATCCATTGAAAAGCTATCTAGCAAGACCTGTTGCCTACAACACTGTGGTCTCTTAAAGTATTTTTAGGGGAAGCTGATTTGAAAATGATTAAGCAGTGACTTACCTAGTGAGACTGCCCGGTGTGGAACACTTAACTCAGTCCTCGCTACTTTTGAATGGGATGCTAAAAATTTTGTTGATTTGCACATAAAATATAAGGGATGTTGATATTTTTCTGCTAAGTTTTTGGTGCATATGAAAGTGAAGACAGCTAGGGTGAAAAATAAAGCAAACGTAGATAAAGTATTTTCAAAACTATCAGATCATGGCAGTAACTAATATTACTAGCCCTTCCCAAAGGAAAAAAATCACAGAAAAATATGTGTGCGTTCTATCATTTGTCTTCTGAAGCAGAGGGTGTGGTGTGAGTTATACATTTTTGTCCTTCCCTACAGAGAGGATACACATATATTTGGGCCAATTTGGCAATGGGTTTTTTGTTTTTTCTCTCATAAATGACAATGAAACTTTGATTTTTGATGTTTCCCTGTGAAATAGACAAGAAGAAGTTTACTTGTATTACAGACTAGAGAAAACTTGGTCCTAATCATGTTGAGCAGTTAACACAAGGTCGTAAGAACGGAAACACAAATTCTGAGAAGTACTCCATCTGTGACTTCTAAATGCTGTCCTCCTGTTCATGTGAAAAACACGAAACCAGAACTAATACATAGTGGGATAGGACACTTTGATAATGGCTCTACCTTACATTAAGGAGAAATTTATTAATTACATCAGGTATTTCAGTGTAGTTTTCTGAGTATGAAAATGAATCCCACAAAAGATTAATGACTTAAAAAAAGATTAATGACTTTTGTTTTCCCTTTGTTTTGGCGTATCCATAGTTCCATATCTTCTTGTAGTTCAGTAATCATTTTTATTTTATTATATTTTAATAGTTAATAAATTGTAAGAACTAGTCATTTAGCACAAAGCCTTGGAAAGAATGAGCTTTCATGCATACTGTTTTGCTGACAGTTGCTGACAATTTGTGTTTAAAGTTTTCATTTCAGTTCAAGTATTTAAATATTAGAGTGAAAATATATGATTTCTACAAATGTTTATTCTTTTTACTTATTTAACTAAAATTTATTAGAGGCTTGTATGTCTTAGGTAATTCAAACAGAAGAGTACGATTTGAGGATCATAGTATGTTTCTGTAATTCATGGGTAGTGATTCTTTCATTATAGAAAAAACTGTGATTATTAAAATAGTCACTTATGAACTATTTGACCTAAACTAGGATAATTTAATTATAAATGCCGCATAACCTAAAATCCAAATGTCTTCTAGCAACTTAATGAGATGCGCCAGAAGAAAGAACTTGTTAAAAAAAGGGTAGAAGCAACCAATAAAAAATTACGAAGAAAGGGTAAAAAATCACTTAAGGAACTCACAAAAACTGAGGTGAGAAATTTAATTTATAATTTCGTATCTCAGTGAAAACTCATCAAACCAACTTAATTGTGGGGTGATGGCTTGCATGTCTAAGTGTCTGCACACAGATGCACACACCTGCTATTGAACACTTGCACACCCTCCATGCATGCTGCCTCTGCCTGTCCCACTGCTCTGGTTTATAAGGCTCTTATCTCCCGACACTTAAAATACAAAACAAAGCAAGATTCATATTGGGTTTTTGCAAGAATCAACTGCTTTTTGTAATCACCACGCTGACCTCCCGTTGATGAAGCTTTAAGGAAGCAATGGAGAAAAGAAGGAAAAGAGGAGGGAAAGCAAAGAACAGAGAGGAGGAAAAGACGCGTGTCCTTCCCTAGTTCTAACCTTGAAATGCTTTCTAATGTGGGCCAGTCAGAAGGCCTTCAGGAGGTGGGTAGATCACAAGGCCTCCACCCTTATGAATGGGATCGGTGTCTTTACAAAACCTGTCAAGAGAACTTGCTTGATCTTTAACCCATGTAAGACACAGAAAGGAAATACCACCTTTGAAGCTGAGGGGCCCTAACCAGACAGCACTTAGGCTGGTGCTTTGATCCTGAACTTTTCAGCTTCCGGGACTATAAGAAATAAATTTGCATTGTTTGTAAATTACCCATTCTATTATATTTGCTATACTAGTCTGAAAGCTCTAAAACAAGGGAGGGAGGGAGGGAAGGAAGAGGGAGGGAAGAGAGAGGGAGGGAGGGAAGAGGAGGGAGGAGGGAGGGAGGGAAGAGGGAAGGAAGGAACAGAAAGGGAAGGAAGCAAAGGGGAGGTGGAACAGGAAGAGGAAAGGGTGTGAAGTTTTAGCTCCAAATCCACTAAGCCGATATTTTCAAATTATAAAATATTCATTGATTAGTCATGTGCTTACAAACTAGCAAGTATTTTCAGATATGTTATTTGAATCATTAGTATAAGTTATTTTCATGATGATGTATAATTTGACTATATAAGCTAATACTCAAACGAAAGGGTTAATTAAATTTCAAACCATGTCCTAGAAAAAATATTCATTTTCATAAAGCATCTTCACATAGCTGGACTCATCTCTCTCCATTCTTCTTTTATTTATTTTTAAAAGTTTTATGTGTATGGATGTATTGCCTGCATGTGTGTGAGTGCAACTGTGTCCTGCGATGCCCACAGATGTCAGAAGAGGGCGTCAGATCCCCTGCAACTAGAGTAACAGATGGTTGTTAGCTGCCATGTGGGTGCTGGGAATCGAACCTGGGCCTCCTGCAAGAGCAGCCAGTTCTCTTAACCACTGAGCCATCTCTCCAGCCCCCTTTCCATTCTTCTTATTTTGGCCATGCATACAAAGAATTATTTTAGTTAGTCCAGGTAAAGCATTGACTGATAATATGGATTATATGATTGTTTTGTTAGGAAAAGGTCCTCATTATCTTGTTATTGGTAAAGACTGAATAGAGCCTAAGTTTTCTTAATTATAGGATACTGTATTGAGCCATTGCTCACCTAAGAGATATCTTAGCACAGAATTAATTTCCCAGAGTCATCATGGGAAATTGTGCTGATTGGAAATACTGCTTTCGTGTTGTTGTTTGATCAGAACAACATCTGTTCCCCACCATCTGCCAACACACATTGGATATGTGTGAAAACCAACGCTACATGTTTGCATCTTGAAACAACAGGCTTGTGAGTTGTGTGTGGATGGGAACATGTGAAATGAGGGCAAGCTTGTATGAGAGAGAGAGAAAGAGAAAAAGAGGACTTTTAAACCATCTTTTCGAAAACCCATCTGATGTAGCAGTGAAGAATATAAACTTCAGTTGTTTCCTATATTGATAAGAGATTGCTAGCCTTTATCATTTCTATCTCCAATGTAATTATGTCTCTGAACTATGAAGATATGAAAATCCAAGTTAAAAATAGAACTTACCTGGATTCTTTTTTCAGGGCAGACGGTCATTAATTCATCAAGAAATCGAGTCAAATAGAAGCAAAACAATTTTTTTTAATGCAAAAAGCCAAGCGCTGAGTAAGGAATTGAGACCAATGAGACTGGAAAAGATAAATTATGAGGAAAAACTGGAAAAGTTAAAGTGAGTATTTAAATTTTATCAAAAATCATATTTTATCAAAAATTATATTTACTAGGTTAATAAAGGAAATAAAATCAAATTTCCATATTTAAAATGTAGCCTTAAGATGGCTCAGATGTTCTGATATAATTTTATGTAACATATGCATAGTCATGTGTGGTATTTAATCATTTGAGTTTATATGAGCGTAATTGTAAGTTCATTGATTATTTCTCTTCTGGGTTCATTCATACTTGAATAATGGGGCTATTTCTCCTTTTCCACATATGTGAACCTTTTCTCTCAGATATTTAAAATATCCTCCATTAAGTTCAATACATCTTCAGCATTTTGGGGCCATGCTTAATGATTTATGGTTTTCCCCTAACTTTCAGATTACAGTTTTAAGGTAAAAGTTTAGAAACAGGTACTCTATAATATCTCTTGTAATTTGCTCACAGTTACAATCTTTAGCTGCCTTTAATGAGTTCGCCTCGTCAGTCAGACCTGTGAGGAAGGTCTCTGGCTCCTGAATAATCTTGCTCTTGGGCTCACAGGGTGTCCTGGACCCTCATACGCAACTCAGGACCCTTCCTTTGTTGGCATTTGCTCTCATCTCCTATTTTTCTAAACATGAAGTGGGCTTGGAAGTTGATTAGAAGGATATTCATTGATCACATTTCGGAGTGTTAGCTTGATAGAAGGCTGATATCAGCAGTAGCACAGTGATAGCACTTGAGGGACAAATGAACAAATACAATTGGGCCCATGAGAATGAATGAAATGCTTGCTGTGCATACCTGACAACCTGAGTTCAATCCCCTGAGCTACCATGGAAGGAGAGATCTGGAATTGTCCTGTGACCTTCATGCAAGTGCCCCCCCACACCCCACAATAATAATACATAAAAATTTTTAAAAAGTTAAAACAATTATGTGCAGCCAGGAACCAAGTACTTTTAATGGAATCAAGTCAGAGCACACGACAAGTGATTACTTTAAGATAACGTGTTTTCAACTTGTCTAAAAATGACTAAATTATCTTTGTCATATTAAAGAAAGAAACATTACTTACTTGAGGCATTTACCCACAGTATTTAACATCCATGGGAATATTGTGGGTCTTGAGCTGGAGAGATGGCTCAGTGGTTCAGCCATCAGCGGCTGCTCTTGCAGAGGACCTGAGTTTGATTCCCAGCACCCCCTATGATGACTCACAACCACCTGTAATTTCAGTTCCAAGGGATCTGATGCCCTCTTCTGGCCTCTAAAGGCACTACCTATGTGTGGTACACATACTGACAGATACACTTACATACACATAAGTAAAAATTTTTAAAAGTAAATAAATGACATAATTTCAAAAGCGCTTTCATATTTTAGTCCTTCAAAAGCTATTAGTCTTGCTTCCTTTATTATTATCAGTAACGTGCAAGTGAGTTAATTTTCTTTATCAGTAGAGATGTCAGCTAATGTGGCTAGCATGTGACCATGCAAAGCTTTTACTGCTTATTCTGTGTTCTGAGTCACTGTTAAATGCTAGCAATTATTTCTTAAGCTCATATATATTGCCAAAATTGTTTTATTCACTTACTGATTTTTAAACTACTATTTTTCCTTTTGTAACTACCATAAAAGTTTTTTATGCCTTTGTGGAAAGATATATAATTGTAAATAAGAACACACACAGGCATACATAGACACAGATATAGACACACACACACACACACACACACACACACACACACACACACACACACACCACATAGACCTATGGAAGGAGTTAGAAACTTATTCCAAGGTCTTTCAATACCAAGCCTGCTGAAATGTTGCATAAACGTATTTCAGGAATTAAAGCATAAATTGAATACTGACACATGAAGCTTTCTGCACAGGGAAGAGTTTACTTCGATAAAATTTAAGAAAGAACACGCACAAGAAGTATTTGACCATTTCATGAGAGAGAAGCAATTCTGCGAGGAGAGGCTCTCTGAGGAAGATCGCAGGTTTCAGAAGCTCATGGCCTTGAGGCAAAACACTCTGGCAAACATTCGAGTGAGTCCTTTTGAAAAACATTTTAAAATGAAAGAAATATGATAAGCACCCTGGTCAGTGCACACATTCCTCCTCTTTCATGCCGGCACAGCAGGGGTATTTAGATTTTAAAATCAAATGTGCTCATGTAATGGATCTGTAACTTTTCACTTTGTTGTCCTAAGTGATTGCAATATATTCATACAGTGCATCGGGCTTTGTCACTGCCTTCTGTGTTCACTCTCACTTTGTTACTGAACATTATTTCATTTTGAAGTATGCCCTTGTAAACGTGTAGGTTGTGTTCATTCCAGAGCCATTTCTAGGCTTTCAGTCGACTCAGGACAATGGTTCTACTTTGTGTCTGTGCAAACATTTTGAGTGGTATAAGCCTCTGTCTTTTATGGTTAAGTGAGAATGATTTATGCTCTTTTCCTTTAAAAATGTGTATAATATTTTGAAACAGGAAATCATGTAATATAACGTAA